AGAGACTAGCCAGGTCGTGGGTCCTTGCTCGCCGGAGAGAGAAAAGTCACCCGGGGGAGGGGAGGTGGGCGGCGGCTAGGGTAGGAGGAAGAAGGGGGAGGAGAAAAGGTGTTTTAGGATTTCTTTTGTTTTCAAACATTTTCTTTAATTTTCTCTTCTTTTGTTTTACTTTTTTTTATCCCAATTTTTATTAAAAACCAAAAAACCCAAATCCCCAGTCTTATTCAGGCCCCTCTCAATTTGTTCTAAAAGTAAAGCCCAATTTCCAATTTTAAGAAAAATTATAATCATTTTCCATAATAGAAAACTCATTTTAAAAAGGTTGGGAAATTTATTTTAGAGATTGGCTAAATATTAAAACCCGAGAATAACTTCAAAAGGAGAAAATTGAATTTCCAAAAGTTAATAAAAAAATAAACTTGATTCTGATTTACAAAAATTAAAACTCAAAAATGAGAATTTCGAAGAATTTCACGACGAAAATAAAGGAGGAATTCAAAGGCACAGATTAAATCTTAAAATAAAACTAACCCAAGAACGCGGGGCGTTACAAGCGGAGGTGCGGTGTCTGCAGCGGCGCGACTTCGAAACTCCCTTTGGCAGTCGTCAACGGCAGCAGACTCGCTTGACCAGTACAGCGCGCAGCTGTTCGGAAAACCTCTAGTGACAGCGGCGATTTGGGTGTTCTCCGGTGGCTCAGAAGTGCGCGTGATATGTTCTCCGGCAGGATCTGTAGCAGAAACGGTGCGGCGCATCTTGTAGCAACTGGAATTTTGGTCCGGCGATGATTTGTGGTGGGTTCGTGAAGATTCCTTCGTTCCAATAACGTTTGACGCTTATCCACACCAAAACGAAGCTTGATTTGAGTTACCCACCCCCTCCGGCACTGATTTGACGTTGACTCACTCTTATTCGAACCCAAATCGGCATTACCCATTGCTTTTCGGCATCAGACCAGCAAGCGCGAAGCATTTCGAACTTGGATTTGGTAGTCCGAACCTCCTTGGCATTAACCCACTCCTAGCCCAAGAGGTTTTACTGTGAGTTAGTAGGTAAAGATTCACCAAAACGTAGTTTCGAAGCAAATTAAGTGTTTTTGAGTTGGTTTCTAACACAAGTTTGGTTGCTTTGATTTAGGGAATCCTTCGGCGAGATTTAGTAGCGTGTTAGGACCCGTGTTGTAAGTAGTTCTTACTTGGGGGATGTTTGTTGTATGAATATGTATGAATTGTTTGGTGCTTTTGGTGTGTTTATTATTTATTAATATGTAAGTTGATTGTGTCTTTGTGAATATTGGCTAATGACTATAAGTAGTTTGAATGAAATCATGTTGGTTCTGGTTGTTTATAATTGACTTGCTTTGCGTTGTTGGATTTGATGCTTAGTGGTATTTCTGAAAGCATAATGGATTATGAATGGTTTTATCGTTGTATGGTTGTGTTCATAAAAGCATACTGAAATAATGTGGAAGAAATCTGTTGTGTTGCGCATGCATGTGGACTGTCATTTCATTTTTGGCTTACTGTTTTTTGGTTCTGGAAGCATGCTGGTTTTATTGTAAGTTGAGTGTTGCATGGGTCATGACCTAGAAAGTATGTAGTAGGACTCTGGTGAGAGTTTGGTCCTTAATGAAGTGAATGGGTTAGGTTGTGTTCTGATTACTATGAAATTTTTAGAGTGTTGGACGCGTATATGGATATATGTCGGTTACGTCTCTTTTGTGAATTATCTGCACTGTGGTGTGTAAAGCATGCTGAGTGTTGAGAGAAAGGTGTCCTCGTGATGTTGGATGGCCATGTCTGGATGATAGTGACATAGGTTTTGTGTATAACATATGTTCCATTGTTGTGAGATAATTTCTGCATGGGTCAGAGCCTAGAAAGTATGTAGTAGGACTCTGGTGAGAGTTCTGGGATGTAATAAAGTAAATGGAGAACTAACAGGGCCAAAAAGGCTGGCACGTCACTAGTTGGGTATCGAGGCTCCAGGTGCAAAGGTCGGGGATCGATACCCCAACTTGGTAGAGATGAGTGTCGAGGCTCCGGGTACAAAGGGTCGGGGGTCGGCACGGTGATTCTATTTTGTTGAATGAGTATTGGGTCTTGATGTGGTGGTGGTCAAGGGCCAATACGTTGAGTAGTCGTCGATACCTTGGGGATAAATGTCAAGGGTCGATGCACAGTTCAAGGCTTTGGGGATAAATGGCAAGGTCGAACGCCAAACTTCTGTAAATGAGTGTCGGGCCTTGGGGATAAATGGCAAGGGCCGATACGATTCGAGGAGTTAGACTTGGAGAACTAACATAATGTGATGCACAGTTTGAAGTCTTGGGGATAAATGGCAAGGTTGAACGCCGAGCTTCTGTAGATGAGTGTCAAGCCTTGGGGATAAATGGCAAGGGTCGATACGATTCGAGGAGTTAGACTTGGAGGACTAACATAATGTGACAGGTTAGGAGTTGCATGCAGGTTAGGGGCCAATATGTTGAGTAATAGTTGAGGCCTTGGGGATAAATGTCAAGGTCCAACACCGAGCACCGTAGAGAAGTGTCGATGCTTTAGCTACGCGAGGTCAGGGGTCGGTACGACTCGAAGGGTAAGTCTTGGAGAAATCAAGAAAGAGCACTAGTGAGTTAAGATGTGAGGCTAAGTTTGACATGTATGGTACATTTTTAGTTAAACTTATACATAAACTGCTTCTTGAAATATGTTTCTTTCATTTAAGGCTCGAGATTAATGATAAACATGATGTGTTGATTCTTTGATAATCATGACACGTTGTATCCTTGATAAGCATGT